GCAAACTACGTGTGTACCAAATTACGTGTGTACTAAACCACGTGTGTAGCAAACTACGCGTGTAGTAAACTACGTGTGTACCAAACTACGCGTGTAGCAAACTACGTGTGTACTAAACTATGTGTGTAGTAAACTACGCGTGTAGCAAACTGCGTGTATACTAAACTCTGTGTGTAGCAAACTACGTGTGTACCAAACTACGCGTGTAGCAAACTACGTGTGTAGCAGACTACTTGTGTACCTAACTACGTGTGTATCTGTATTTGCTTTGTTTTTGTGTTGTCTGATACAGAGTGGAGTGCGTATTGGTTGTGAGGTAGACACCCATTCTTAGATATAGTAGATACGCACTTGTATTCGACAAGTTCCTAGGGAGTGAGGGTGTAATATTCTTAGTGGTCAGAGTTTAATGTTCTAGGGTTGTAGGGTTTAAGATTCTAGGGTTTCAGGGAAGGTTATAGCGTTTTCGGGTTCAAGATAGCAGGGTTGTAGGGTTTGTTCTAGGGATTTACGGTTTATCGTTCTACGGATTCAAGGTTTAAGGTCCTAGGGTTGTGGGGTTTAAGGTTGTAGGGTTTTAGGGTTCAAGGTAAAAGGGTTGTAGGGTTTTAAGTTCTTGGGTTTTGAGTTTACGTGCGGGGTCAATGAGAATCACGTAATGATGACCGATGCGGTAAGCGGATGGCGGCATGAGCTGTGGTTTACTCTGCCATTTGGCCCTCAGAGCATCCCTCAGTAATTGAGGTTATGTGTACTCAAATTCGGGTTATATGTTACATTTACTCAAAAATTATTTTAATATGTACTCAAAATTTGGGTTCTATGTTATATGTACTCAGAATTTGAGTACATGTGTACTCAAAATTTAAGTTCATATGTACTCAAAATTCGGGTTTATAATTTGTGGTTATATGTAATCAAAATTCGGGGTTATATGTAGTCAACGCTCGGGTTTACTTGTACTCAAAATTCGGCTTCATACGTAGTCAAAATTTGGTTTTATATTTTGGGATGATATATAAATTTGGGTTAATATGTGGTCGAAATCTAGGTCTTGTACAGTCGAAATTTAGGAATGAATGTAGTCGCTTTCACTTGGCGTGTGGTGCATGCATCGGATCCCCTCGGGAACTCAGTCATGGTTGTACTATATACTTGGCCATGGCTGTGCTATATACTTGTCATAGTCCTTCTGCTGGATTCTGCAGGAGTTCTTATCGTAGTAGACATACGATGGTAGTCTGATGTGTGTACGCATGTGTGTGTACGCACCTGAGTATAGTGTACTGTCCGTTGTATCTCTCGTTAATCCCAAGGCGTAATAGTTTGTAGGGTAACCAGTTGGTTTGCAGCAGTTAAACTAAAGCACACACTACCATTGCACTCCACTCTCTAGATGATGCGATACCAAAAATACAGAACTGGGCTCGGTCTTTCTGTCCATCCCCGGGAGCGGGACAAATCGGTCGCCATGGCAACGAAGTTGAATTCGGACCGTGTGATGAGCCTGCATACGTGAGTGCATCTGTCGTGCATTGCATTTGAAATCTCACAGAGAGAATATGCATACGATGTGTGTGTGTGTATAGCCATACATGTATCAATTACAGAGCTCGTATACATGAGAATGGTATATGTATATAGTCATACATGTATAGTTCACAGGGGTTATATACATATGATGTGGGTATGCGTCATAGAGTTTCTATACATATGATGTGTGTATGCATTATAGTTTATATACAGATGTGTGTATGCACGTAGTTCGTATACATATGATGTGCGTATGCATATAGTTTATATACAGATGTGTGTATGCACGTAGTTTGTATACATATGATTTGTGTATGCTTATAGTTTATATACATAAAATGTATGTAAGCATAAGAGTTTATGAACATATGATGTGTGTTACATATATCCATACATGTATTGTGCGTTGCAAAATATAACGTTTTAATCACAGTGTGCTTATTCCTATCTGTGCGTGTCTGTCCCACAATCATTCATTCTGCTGCCCCTAATCTTCATTTCGGATTTCCAGACAAGGCCCATATGTGATTTTAAACGCTTTATTTTACAACGTATATGTATAAAATTCAAAGTACATTCTTTATTTCAGTATATTCTGTTCTCAAGTGTTGACCGAGATGTGTTTTGTCAGCTCCAGTAACATAAGGCTGCCGAATACCAGCAGTTTTACTAAAAGCAGTTTGCCATAGTGATACACTCCATACGTCTTCGCTCGTACGTACTTGTCTGCCACCAGCCATTTCACCCAGCTCTATTAAGCCCATGCATACTCCATTGTGCGTCTGTGCGGTCTTGCAGCAAACAGAGCCGCTTACCGGAGTGAACCGAATCGAAATAAATTCCTTTATGGACGTGGAGGAGAACTTCTGGACACCCAAGTACGGTATCAAGGGTAAGTCGCATGGGCACCAATGTGATCGTCTCCCCACGTGCAGCTCATAGGTGTTCATGTAGCTGTTGCTGGCTTACAAGTACGGTATCAAGGGTAAGTCACATATGCACCAATGTGATCTTCCCCCCACATACAGCTCATAGGTGTGCATATAGCAGTTGCTGGCTTAGTCTATCAACCGCTACACCTAGATGGTGTGGTGCTGTGACTGGTGCATGATATCCTGTAGCCTCTCGCAATGTGCGCAACTGTTGACATTGCGTACACCGTCTAACTCGAACGCCAATGCATGTCACACACGGCACGTCTTGTTACACGCACCGTTTAGTTTGAATGACTGTTGAGTTTGGGGCTGTTGTTGCAATTCTATCTGATACACAAACTTGTGTGTTCTGTGCCAATTGATGCTAAACTTGTGTTTTGTCTGCCAATTGATGAGAAAACTTGTATATTATCTACCAAACGATACAAACCGTTATGTATTATTACCAAATAATACAGGTAAAGTGGACGGCTCCATCTTGGTCACGGACATACCTTCTGCGAACCAGAACAACCGTACCGCTTTAAAGCGGGTCATGCCCTTCGAATTGAAGACTGGCCGTCCGCCAAGAAATGGCATGAGCATGTCACACCGAGCTCAGGTGAGGAATTGCATGATGATAACTCAGACTATATGAGACAAGGGACGAGATTGCAGAGGTACCAGATTTTAGGACTACCTGCTATATCCTCACATATTTTATTATATATATATATATATATATATATATATAATACATACACACACACACACACACACACACACA